CAGTGGAAGCTGTGATAGAGTCTTTTCTGTAGGGCTTGGAGCATAGATATAAGATAGGTGTAGATTTGGCTTCCAGTCAGTGGTCAAGGTCAACCTGAGAGCCTGGAATGTAGAGAGTGTCTGGTGGTCATGGGTCAACTCTTCTTAGAAAGCTTGCTCTACTCAGAGAACAAAGGTAGGAACAGTATATGGGACAAAAAAAGGGGCACACAAGCTGAAATCAATAGAAGATTAAGATTGCAGGCAGGTAGACCAGAAGCTCAGAATACTGTCAGGACACCCTCACAAGGGAAATGCAAAGGAGAAGCCAGCAGAAGAACAGGTGAGAGATGGAAATTGCAAGGACAACTCTCTGGTGGTGGAGGCAACCAAGGAAGAAGTTACAAGTTTTCTATTGTTGGTGAACCACATCTCAAGAATGTTTAGCCTTATAGCTGTGAGTAATGAGAGGGAACTTCTGCTGTAGCAGAGAGGGAAACAGAAGGACTTCTGTGAAAATATTACATTCATCTGGGCATTTTATTAGAATTAGAAATGTGTCATTAGTGCATGAGTGCATTTCTGATTTGTAAAAACGTATAATGATGACTGTTTAAATTTGTTGAGTATATTCAGACAAACTTTTATGATGTTATAACTTTAGAATAATTTTTCTTTTCAAAAGGTTACAAGAAAAAAATATTTATCTATGAAATCTACTAATGTGCCTCAATCCCTGTTGATAGTGAGATACTGGGAGTCATGATGTCTGATAGGAACGTGCTAATTCAGATGTCAGTTAGTCATTTTCAATTTACTACTTTTGTCTCAACACCTGTGCTTTCTGGCTTTGCCTTGGCATTATGGTTGATGAGTATTAATATGCATTAAACTTTCTATACTGTTTCTTTTTAAATTTCTTTTCTGGACCCAGCTTCCCCAACTACCTTTAAAAATAAATGCTCTATTTTCAGTATAAAATAATCTCCTGAACCCCAAAATAATTCTGTGTGCTTTTCCTTATATATATAATTTTTATGAAGTGATGACTATAAATTCTTAAGGAATTGATAAAGGTTTAGAACGGGCCAGTTCTTTCAGTGAGTTTTTGTCATATTGCACACTGACCACATCCCTTCTCGTTCTGGAGGTCGAGCTGTTTGTTTCAGCCACACCCAATGCTTACTTTGAATCTATTGGTACGGAGACCTCTGTAGGCTGCTGTGGTGATGTGAGAAATGAGAGAGGCCTTGTGGTCTGTAGGTGGTTACATTCTGCAACTTCTTTGGTAAGCAGTGGAATGGTAGAGAATTGTATAAGCAATTCTTTTTTTCTAGTCTTGTGTTGTACAACTACCACATTGACCAACTTTTGCCAGGGGAGCAGGCCCGGCCCTGTGGGAATCTGTAAGGTCATCAGAATTGGATGTAGAATGCATAATTGAATTAAAGAGCCACTTTAGATTTGCAGATAAAAGAAAGTAGTGTCCCCCCAGGTGTTTTTGTACTTCACTCCCTGTTGATGTATTTAGAAATAGAGGGATTTATTTGCAGGTATAATTTCCTCAGGGGTAGCCTGCAAATACTTTTATTTAGCCACTACTCTTTATACAGACTTTGAGTTATGAGGTGACCTCCATCTCAGCAAGATAAATCCTGGTACCCAGAGTCCAGCCAGCTTCATCTATGGCTGTGTAGCTAAAGTAGATATTGAAATTTGTTTTCTTGAGAAGACAGGAAAGTCCCACCTGACACACTTAGGTTGCTGTAAGCAAGTTATAAAACTGCCAGACATCTATTAAACTGGAGGTGTTGCTCAACTTTATTGAGCAGGAGTCAGGTTCTGATGGTCTGCAGGGCTGTTTTGGACCCTTGTGTGCACACATCTCCAAGATCATAGGCTTGCCACCAATAACGGATAAGCTGTGTGTGTGCTCTTAGACACGGACATAGAGACAAGCTGCATCACCCACAAGGTACTCACTGAAGCCCCATGAAGTAACCCCGGTGGCAAGGGGCCACATTTTCTGAAGATGATGTCTCAGCTGTGTTTTAGGTGACTGATCGCCTCTACTACTCTGCTGTGCTCCATTTATGGTGACAAAGAAGATCAAAGCAGTGCATTGTGAATTTTTTGCTTCGTGTAAATTTAAGCATGGCCACAAAGGCTTGTTTCCTCTCTCTTGGAAAAGCAAATCGAGCTTGTAGAAAATAATTAAATCCGCAGTATCTTGCAATAATTAGACATTTGAAATGGGGAGGGGAGTTAATTATTTCAATCTGATTTCAGTTGCCCAATAAAATGTTCAAGGAAAGCATCCAGACAGTTACCAAATTAATTTACAATCCCAGCTCATTTAATTTTTGTACCCTTTTTCCCTGCAGGATCATGCAGATTTGCGAAGCCATTTCTTCACAGTTGGGATGAAGCTAGAAACAGTGAATATGAGTGAGCCCTTTCATATCTGTCCTGCATCAGTGACCAAGGTGAGTGTCCCACCCTTACTCTGCATCTCAACCTCCAGAGTGGATCAAATAAGTCTTTCTACTGAAAGACAACCAGATGAAATGTGTTTGCATAAGGATATGCTACAGTTCCAAGAGAACCTAAGTCAGATTGCCTTCTTTCCCATCCAGTGCTATTTGAAGCTCTCTCTTTATCACTGGTAGCATAGAGCGAGTCTGATCAGATGTCCTCTCATGTCATGGTTGGGGTGAGTTTCACTTGTCTTCTGATAGTACAGTATGTGGACACTCATGCCCATGAGTGACTTGGAGGAAGGTTAAAGATGCATGACTGTGAACTTGTTCCTCCTGAACAGATAGTATTTAATATGATTGATCTGATTATATTTCAAAAATACCTGCAAATGGTGAAAAGCAAATTCCCATTGCACTTCTACTTCCTTGTAATCACCTGCTTTCATTGATGAAGGCAAAGTCATGCTTCTGAGATGTGCAAATTTAAAATGAAATTGCCTTTCATGTAAAAGCATTTTAATTATGGTCTGATAGGCTTTTAAGATTATAATTTTCCTTCTCCATCAAAGACATCTCAATGAAGTCAGCTATGGTAACATCAAAAGTATGTGTTTCTACCTTAAGTATCTCTTATAAATGATGGAAGAAACCAACAAACGTAGAACTCTTTTTTTGTAAGCTTTTTTTTTTTTTTAATTGGTTTCAGAGAGAGGAAGGGAGAGAGAAAGATAGAAACATCAGTGATGAGAGAGAATCACCAGTTGGCTGCCTCCTGCATATTCCCTACAGGGGATCCAGTCTGCAACACTGACCAGGAATCAAACTGTGACCTCCTGGCTTATGGGTCAACATTCAACCAGTGAGCCTTACCTTTCATGCATTTTCTAGGGAAGGTAATTAATGGTTCAAAAGTCAATTTCATGGATTCAAACCCAGGTCTCTTGATGCCCACTAACGTAATATTTAATGTTTTAATTCCTTGGGGGCATAATGTTTTAGTCCCCACAAATGGCTTTGCAGATAAATCCCAACCAGCTTTGCTAATTACTAGCTGAATAAATTACTTATATTTTAAAGATCTTAGTTTTTTTATCTATACCGTAGATATTATACCATCCACTTTATGTCATTGAGAGAAGTGAGGAATCATGCATGAAGTGCCTGGCACAGTACTTGGCACATGTGAATGCTCAGTAAAATATTAGCTATGCTCACCCAAACCTTTGGTCCCATTTATGGGTACCATGTTATCGCAGTTATCGCCCAAGAAAAAAGTATGCCACAGGCATCCGGGCATCCAACTGCTGATCAGACTGTGTTTGGTTCCTGTGGAGAAATGGTCTTTCTTACCCTTGTTATCTTACCCTTGTTAGCTGGTGAAATATAAGCCTGATTGTTTTAGAACTGAATTTTAAGTTTGTTTATTACAAAGTGCTGTGGTGGTTAATGCAAGATACACATCACCAGTTTCAAGGGCCAACCCTAGAACTGGAGTCAGAAGCCCAGTGAATCTTCAGCACACTTTATTTTCAACATACCCACTGAAGAGAAATTGAAGCCTTTCATGTCCCCTTTAAAGCCATGCATATTGCTGAGTTTTCCATCGGCTCGCTGTGCATACATAACTTTTGAAATGAAAATACTACTGTGTGAAGAGGATGATCAAGGTAGACCACAGCTGATTGTCGCCACAGTGGGTTGGGATGTCAGTCATTCTTAAGCTAAAATGAACTCTTTCATGATCCAACAGAACGCCTCTAATTTTACATTTACTGTCATCTTTCATTTGCTCTCCTTTTTTGGCAACATTACCAACTGCTGATCAGACTGTGCCTGTGGAGAAATGGTCTATCTTGAAATTTGTGATCCAAGAGGAAGAGAAAGAAATTTATATTTTGAGTTTAAAGTATTTGAAAAACTTGATCGTTTATCTACTATGGGCCTTTGTATTTTTTATTGTAGGCAGTGCAAAGAAGGATTTCTTTGTGTGCATTTTTTTTCCCCCTGAGAGTCTTGATCCTGCAGTACTTTTCCAAATAAATAGTTTCATAATTAATATGAAGAAATCAATTGGGTCTATTTATTCTTTCTCTCCTTATTACAAGAAAATATTTGACTTTAGAAATAAAAACAAAGAAGTTTCTTTGATGTTACTGCACGTTGGCAGAATGTCTCAATTGTATTTGGGGTACAATCAGATGTGTCTTCAATAGCTCACACAATAGCTCCTGTAACTGCCACACGCCTGAGGACCCATAAGCAAGTTGGAGCAGGACTTTACAACCAGAGAACAAACATATGAAATGTATGACACCCAGATGCATAGTCTTAGGATACGATCCTTTTGGTGTCACAGATTGATTTATGAATTTTATAAAGTTGAAGACACTAAAAAATGGTTAATTCCATTTCAATTTCTTTTTTCTGAAAGAGACTGGATTTCTTAATGCAGTAACAAGTGTTTTAATGTTACTTGAGTCGTGCTTTTTTAAATGTATGATTTGGTAAAATTCGAGAAATAGATTGGTGGCAGTGATTTACAGAATGTGGAAAATTGTTATGATAATGAAATGTCTTTTTCTCCCCCTTGAAATATTTTCCTTTAATGACTATAAATTATTTTTTATAACTGTTAAAGTAATTTATCTAAAGAATAACTGCATATGAGAAAAATATTGACTTACACTTTGAGTGATAATCTCGAGATTGAAATGCGTGCTATCATGTTTATACACCATCCATTAAAAACCATGTTATTTGAAATGAGCTTCAGGGTTCTTTACTGTGTATTCTGGTTGTTGCACATTTGTAGAAAACTAAAGAGTGATATCTTGTTGAAACCTGACCAGAATTTCCCTTTGTTCGAGCAGCGGGTGATTTAGTGATGCCAGCTGCTCATTTATCTGGATATATATCGCCTTGTCCTCATTCTAAGAGGCTGTGGTATCAGCTTCACTTGGAAAATTTTTTTTTTAAGCCAAACAGAGATGCAAATGTGCTTAGCCTGCCAGGGGTAGACATTTACATTTTTATGCCTTTATATAGTTGTACATGTGACGTTGGGATGTGACATACTAATTATAATTAGGTCCAGCCTGAATATCTGTATTTTGTTGCGTGGACTTCCAGTGGCAGTAGTTTGGTTTCCAAGGTAAAACAGTTTACTCCCTTAACAAATCTTATGGAGTTTGGGAGTGGGAGGGTATTTTCTCTGATTTTTTAAGATACATTTTCATTTTTATATTTCCTACTTTTTGTACCAAAGATAAAATACTTAAGTCATTCATTCTTATAGACCTCTCCTTCTTTATTGGCCACGTGTTGTGTAATGCATGGACTTGGATGAGCACCTCCCCAGGTTCAAGTTTCATGTACATGTAACATAGTATCAGAATAATCTCCATGCAGAAGGTATTTATAAATAAATACGTTTCTATTAACACTGGATAATGTTTTAGGATATTGAGTTTGAGAATATAATGCATTGTGCCGTTATTAATCATCATAATGAAATTTCCCTTTTTATTTCCTTGGGGCTTTTCTTGATGGCACAACTGTTGAAGAAATAAGTAATGTTAAAGCAAATAGGTGGATAAGCATGTAGCAGATGCAGTATTAAATGCCCATCTTTTAGCAGTACAGTGGGATTTTGTTTTTGGTGTTCCAAAACAGTGAGTTAGTGACAGATGATGGTGGTGATGACGATATCATCTATAATGTAAAATGTATTGCACTGTTCAGAGCTAAGGATACTGGAATTAAAGTCTTGGGCTCTGTTTCTATTTGCTAGCTCTGAGCTGCACAGTCTTGGGCAAGTTAGTTAACTGCCCAGGCGTTAGTTCGAGACCTGTGTGTTGACCAGAAGGCCCAGTGTTTCTGAGCCATTTAGCTTCTCTCTAAGTAATAAGTAAGCAAATGTAGTATGTTAAAGGCTACATGAAAAGGAGGAAGATGCATCAGGGAAGGAACTAATGGAGTGTTGGTGGAGGAAGGGAAGATGTGACTTTAAGTAGGGTTGTCAGGGAAGACCCCGCCCTGGGAAGGTGATGTTTGATCCTTTGCAAAACTCAGGCAGCAGAATCCTAACTATTTACTGGAATTAACATCAAGAAGAACTGAAGTGCGTTTCCTATCCTGCTTATCTTTGAACTAGTTTGCGTCCAGAAAATATTTTTAAATGAAGGAGCCAGGAATCATAGCGTAGGGAGAGTGTCAAGGTTTCCCAAGAAAGACTGGCTGCTTTTCTGTTGAGTTGGGAAAGTGCTGTTTTTTTTTCCCTCTGGTCTGTTTTACATACTTGGCTCTCTAGATCCATCATGCTCTTGACTGGGGGTTCACCTGCTTTTTGCACCCTTCTTTTTTCATCATCGTGCTTTGTTTCTATTTTTTCATGGACTTCTTTTCCCCCTCATATCCAGTGTATGATTAGCCAGTTTCTGCGCACAAAACGTTTTCTCTGCATGGTGGGAATACCTCCATGAGGAACGAAGAGGCCACAGTCCTCAAAGCATTAGGATATGCTAAGGTAGACAGATGTGATATCAGTCCTCGGGGGTAAAAGAGGTTGTTCGGTATAGAGATACAAGCCTGATGATTTGGGGGCACAGACCAGGGGTCCTTTATTCCAACTGAGTGTTTGGGAAAATGTCCCAGCTGTGTTGACTTTCAGGTTGGACCTTTGAAAATGTACTGTGATTTGATAGACCGACAAGGGAGTGCGCTGTTAGACTGTGAGAACACTAAGGACAGGCCTGGTGTGAATGATTTCCTCTTGGGCTAGAGCAGCGGTTCTCAACCTGTGGGTCGTGACCCCTTTGGGGGTCCAACGACCCTTTCACAGGGGTCACCTAAGACCATCGGAAAACACATATATAATTACATATTTTTTGTGATTAATCACTATGCTTTAATTATGTTCAAATTGTAACAATGAAATTGGGGGGTCACCACAACATGAGGAACTGTATTAAAGGGTCACAGCATTAGGAAGGTTGAGAACCACTGGGCTAGAGGGTGGGGCATTTGGGCGGATACTAGATGAGCAATACATGAGACTTAGATGAGACTGGAAATCTTCAGGCCAGACCTTGCAGTGTTGTTGATTGACCTGGTGTGAGAACGTGTGTCCCTGCTGTGGACATTGAAAAACCAATTAGACCTTTCAGTGCCCGCCTGGCTTTCTCCTTGGTCAGGGTTTGTCTGTCTTACTTCAGCAGTTTGTTTATCTTTCAGCTATGATTATTGGTTTACGTTTTATTCTCTGTCTCGCTTACTTTTTATTAATATGACCACAGTGATCAACTCTAACTTTTTAGCAACTGGATCAATTTAGTAATATACGTTGACATGCCAGTTTGTGGTCAAACCATTTTGATGAAATACATTGATTGCATTTGGAAGCTGTGCCAATATTTTCATTACTAGTCTTATATGTAATCCCAAGGAACTAACCATTGGCTGTATTGGTTTTCTCTTTCAGGTTTTTAACAATCATTTTTTTCAAGTGACTATTGACGACCTAAGACCAGAACCTAGTAAACTCTCAATGCTGTGCCATGCAGATTCTTTGGGGATTTTCCCAGTACAGTGGTGCCTTAAAAATGGAGTCAATCTCACACCTCCCAAAGGTTTGTGTTTTGTGAAAATGTGCAGAGTTTGATTGATTCAGGAGGGTGTCATTGTTTATCTAGAGAAATTTATGTTGTAAATAATGTAGAAGTAGTGGAAAAAGAATGTCTTTCATGGTTAGCTTGACATAGGGGTCTGTACAGATTGCTGTACAGATTGGAAGTGTAACCTTGGGCTTCTCAATCCACTTCTATAAAGCAAAGTTCCGGGTTAGCAATTGAATGATCGGTGGTTCTGCTGCTCTTGTGTAATGATAGAGGGTAAGTGTTGCTAAGTGATTGAGGTTAAAAACTGCAGAGTGTCTGTGAAGTGGCTTTGAAAAGAAAATAAATGCTATTGAAGCATTTTTTTTTTACATTTTATTTAAAATAAATCAGATTTTCCCCAGAGCTCAGTTGTTCCCAGATATCCAACAATTTGATGCTATAATATTTATCCTATATAATAAAAAGCTAATATGCGAATAGACCAAATGGTGGAACAAATGTAAAAACTGAACAACCAGTCACTATGACGTGCCCTGACCACCAGGAGGGGTGTGCAGAACATGGCGCGCGTTGGCCATGGTGGGATGGTGGAGCAGGTGAGTGGGGGCACCAGACCAAGGTGGGGCACCGGTCGCTGTCATTGGGGTGAGCCTCTGGTGGTTACTGAAAATTCTTTGCTCCTGCACACCGCAGTCCCGCCTTGCACTTACACCCGGTCCTGATCACTCAGCACCATCAGTGGATATGAGTGGCAGCTTCTAGCCCTGATCTCCCCTGAGGGTTCTTTACCTCCTCCTGCTCCTGAGGGGCAACCGAGGCAGCAGCTGCCACTTGCACCCGCTGCTGGCGCTGGCCCCAATCATTCCACACTGTCAGTGGGTGCGAGTGGGGCCAGTGCCATCAGTGTGTGGGAGCGGCTGTGGCAGGAGCAGGACCGCCAGCAGACAGGGGGTCGAGGGCCACAGTGGGAGGGGCCAGGTGGGGGCGTGGAGGATGAAACGAGACTCACCCCTGTGCCTACTGCAGCCTCGTGGGCCACAGTTCCTTTCAAGGTGCATGAATTCATGCACTGGGCCCCTAATATAGATATAAAAACCTAAGGGACCATTCAACCAGTAGCTTTATGCACACTGACCACCAGGCATGGAAACATGGAACAGATTGATGAATCTCAGAGGGAAGGGGGGAGGGGAGAGGGTGGAAGAGATTAACCAAAGATCTTATATGCATAATAGAGGCCCGGTGCACAGATTCATGCACCAGTGGGGTCTCTTGGCCTGGCCTGCAAGGATCAGGCCAAATCCATGCACTGGATCTCCGACATCAAGGGGTCTCAGATTGTGAATGGGCGCAGGCCAGGCTGAGGAACCGCACTGGGCCTCTAGTATTAAAATAATTAAATTGGGAACTGCGTTGCACTAAAATAATGTTTACATTGGGATTCATGCACCACGCTGTAATTTTAGTAACGTGATGTGTTATCCCTTATAGGTCTAAGGTTTATTAAAGGTTCAAAGCAGAAAGGCAAAAGGAGAGAAGATAGGGAGGAAATAAATGGAATAATAGAAGAGAAAATCGGAATAGAGTAAAAAAGTAAATTTAAAGAGGGATTATAATGAATGCTAACCTTTCCAGCTCACCAGGCACTGGTTTATTTGCAGTGTTAGCCATATTGGCCACAGGTTGAGTTACAGTTTTCCTGGGGCCATCATATACCACGTACCACCTTTAATTGTGTATGCCCAGCTCATCCATGGCATGCCTGTACTCCACTGGCATGAATATACTTTGATATTTTTAAGTTTTTATCCTCATTGTTCATCCCTGCTCATTCCCACAGAGGACTTGCTTTTGAGTATTTCCATTTCAGCTGTTGATTCTTCATATTTAGGTTCTGCAGTAATGGAATGTGGCCTAATTAGAGAGTACCATGAACTTCTGTGTAACACTGTTTATACTATTTTAAGTGCTTAACTTATTGAATCCTCAAAAATGAGGATTGTCCTATGAGGAAAATTAGTCACACATAGACAGTCACAGGGCAGGAGGTCTGGCTCCGGATCCCGCTCCCTGTAGCGGTGAGAACTCCAGTTCACAAGGCCCAGGTTCTTGCTTGCATTTGGGCACTCACCAAAGACTGACCACATCCCTGTGCCTCAGCTTTCAGGCTGTCAAAGGGGGACACACCTGGTATTCCACAGGCACTGCGCAGAATCAAAGAAATGACAGAAGTCTAAGTATTTTTATAGTCCCTTAAATGGCTCTCCAGGTGTTTATAGGATAGAATCTGTGTTGGTGGTAGATAAGACAAGGCCTTTCCTGCTGTGAAATGTTAGCATTGGGTCACTTGTGGAGTTTGAAAGCCTCTTGGACCACCGTTGCTTCCTTCTAACCCCGTGGTTGTCAACCTTCTGGCCCTTTAAATACAGTTCCTCATGTTGTGACCCAACCATAAAATTATTTTCGTTGCTACCTCATAACTGTAATGTTGCTACTGTTATGAATCGTAATGTAAATATCTGATATTCAGGATGGTCTCAGGCCACCCTGGTGAAAGGGTCGTTCTACCCCCAAAGGGGTCGCGACCCACAGGTTGAGAACCACTGAATCTAACCACTCTAATCACACCATGTGTGTGGATGGGTTTCATGTCGTTGAAGGAAGTCTTTTTCTAGATATCTAACATGCTTCTTAGTTGGACTTTGAAAATGTCTAGTTAGTAATAAAACCTATTTAAGAATTTTAAGAACATTCGTTGGGTATTTCCTTACATAATGAAAAAAAGGGAAGTATTAATACATGCATTTTGGCTGCTTGATTATTTCATGATGGCAGAGGTTTAATGTTTACCAGAATTTTTAAATATATTTCTCATGAATTGTAACTCTTAAAAAGTGTTGTTTAGAAAAGCGATTGTAGCCATATTTACTAGGAAAATGTATGTGCTTATTTGGATGATTGCATTCACGATATTAAGGAAGTTGTTTTAGATTAGTGTACTGAACTAATGTGTAATGAAATGGCTATACAAATGTATTTCCAAGAATAAAACTGCTGAGTCAAAGGGTAAAATGCATTTATAATTTTAGTAAAATTTGACAAAATGCCTTGGATACAGTTTGCACCTACCTGCACTATCACCAGAATATTAAGTATTTTCATATGTTAAGCCTTTTTATACCTAACATTTAGCTACATGTATTATTTCTTCTCTGTCACCCAAGTATTTGTGGTATATGGTGAAATGAAACTGTCTTCATGTAGCTTTCCAAATTATTTCTTCTTCTATTGAAAATGAAGGATACCTTTTGAAAAATCACACACAAAAAAGAAAGTTGCTTCATGAATACTGTTGTGGAATATTGAGTATAGTGGTTAGTATTTTCCAATAAGAAACTATCAGTGATAAGCATTTAAAAAAAGAAAAAAAGAAAGAAAAACCACTTAAAACATTTAAGAAGTGATCAATATCATTAGTCAAGGACCCACTGGTAATTTATAGGGGCTGTGTTTTGGCTTATTATCTTGAAATAGTAGAGATTTTACTGTTAAGCCAGTAAGAAAAAGACCAGCAATTTACAGAAAAGGGTTTCAGAATATCAACAGATAGTTCACAGTTAAAAGAAACACAAGGTCTCTTATTCAAACACATCACAATAAGAGAAATGCGAGTGAAAATCATATTGAGATGGCATGCATTTATAAGATGAAGTGGAAAATCAGAAGAGAAAGAAAATAAATTTTGTTTTGATGAGCATGTGGAGGAACAAGAATGCCCAGATTACTGGTGATAGTGCAGGTAGGTGCAAATTGTGTCCAAGGCATTTTGTCAAATTTTACTAAAATTATAAATGCATTTTACCCTTTCACTCAGAAGTTTTGTTCTTGGAAATCTCTCTTGAAGATATACTGGGCAGATAATATGCATAAAAGTTTGTTCTTTGCAGCATGATATGTAATAGCAAACACTGGAAAAAGTCCAAGTGCTTGTCTGTATGGGTTAAATAGATTTTAGATAGCCATACAATGAAAACTATGCAATTGTTAAAAAGAATGAGGAAATCTCTGTGTACTGATATGAGAAATGCTCCAAGATATGCTGCAAGTGATAAAGATCTGTAGATTATGGCATGATACTTTTTTTTTGGTTAAGAAAGAGGTAAATGAGAATATGTATTTGTTTGCTCATATTTCTGTAAAGAAACTGTCAGGTTACATAAGAAACTAGCAATGACAATTTTACTTCCTCCTTTCCAATTTGGATGCCTTTTATTTTCTTCTTGTCTGATCACTGTGGCTAGGACTTCTAGTATTATGTTGAATAAGAGTGGTGAAAGCTGACATCCTGTCTTGTTCCTCTTCTTAGGGAAATGATTTTAGTTTTTGCCCATTGATTATGATGTTGGCTGTAGGTTTGTCATATACAGCCTTTATTATGTTGAGGCATGATCCCTCTCTTCCTACTTTACTGAGAGTTTTTATCAAACCTGGGTGTTGGATTTTGTGAAATGCTTTTTCTATGTCTATTGATATGATGTGATCTTTGTCTTTCAATTTGTTTTTGTGATGTATCACATTTATTGATTTGTGAATATTGTACCAGCCTTGCATTCCCGGAATAAATCCCACGTTATCACTTATGGAATCTAAAGAACAAAATAAACTGACAAAACACAATGATCCAGAAACATGAAACATCTAACAGACTGAGGAATCTCAGAGGAAAGGGAGAGGGTGGGAAGAGATTAACCAAAGAATTTATACGGATGGACAGACAATAGTGCAATGAAGGCCTGGGTAGGGGGTGGAAGCAGGGAAGAGGGGATCAATAGGGGGTGGGGGGAAAGGGAAGATCCGTAATACTTTCAATAATAAAGATAAATTTAAAAAAAATATAGCATATGAAGCTTAACACAAAAAGGAACTAATAAAAATGAGAATTCTGAATGGAGGTTCCGAGTATGGAGGTGGCGAGCAGGACAGATGGAAGTGAGGGTACCAGTGAGACTCCG